GATAGCCTATGCTTTCTTATACTCATACAAGGCTATCAAAATGTAACACAAATCACAATTGTATTAATAATAATATACCAAATACAATAATTATTAATTTCGTAATTTCAAATTTTAACAAAAACATTGTTGACGCATTTACTAATTTTGTAAATAAAATCTAATATAAATGATCGGGCGACTAGGCCATAATATGGGCCAGGCCATCTGGAAAATTCCCATTTCCAGACCGGCCACTCCGCCCCTGGTCGGGCCACACATAGCGATCGAGCCGCAGCGGTTCAACCGCTAGTGGTTCAACCGCCAGATTACCGTTTACATATGCGCGGTCGAACCGCGTGCGGTTATACCAAAGTATTGGGTGATTAAAAGATTATTATATTTTAAAACTAAGTAATTAATAGTACCATATACTACAGTTGACATGCTCGTAATGAAAATTAATTATATCTAAGTAGTAAGTATATTATCTTTATTATGTGAGGCATTTTTAAATTTTAATATATTATTGCATATTTACTTTATATACCAACATATTTCTATACGCTGTTCCAAAAGAAAATACACCAKATTTTCATATATTTTATAATAGATTTGATAAAAAAAAAGCGGGTAAGTGGGTATCGCTCTGCTGTACATTAGGGGGKGGGGTGGACCTCTGACTAGGGTAGGTTAAATTTGAATGCAATGATAGGTATCATTGTATACGAAAAACGATTCTGAACGATTAGATTATTAAAAATTTTAAAATCTTAGAATTAAAAAGAAAATTTTTTATGAATTTCTAGCTTAAAAATAATTTGCGAATTTTCGTGATTTTTACGTATGGTTAGGTTAGGTTAGGTTACGTATTCAATTTAAATGCTTGTAAAAAAAAAATTGCGGCTATATATTTTTAATATTTTTCAACTGCTATTGTTACAATGTGTTAGGAGCAGTGTTGGGATTAGATAAGTACTTTTTTTCTAGATAAAGATAAAGATAACACAATTTAAATTTATCTAGATAACAAGAAAGATAAATTTTTTAACACATTGAAAGGTTAGGTTATCCAAAACATTTTAAGAGTACACCTTTGATACTACTTAGTACTTTAATATTATATAAACATCGGATATATGAGTAAATTAATGTTAGCAGTAGACATTATTATTAATAAATAACTAAGGTATAACTGAAAAAAACATTTTTTAAATTAAGTATAAAAATCAAGAAAAACTACTCATTTTACACGATTCGTAATAATGTAATGTAGGCATATTTAATCACAGTGTCCGGGCCCCTAACGAAAATATCAATAATAAAATATAATACCTGTATAAATAACATTATTATGAACATATTTTTTTTTTTTTTTACCGAGATGACTCGACAATTCAAATTTAAAGTATTGGCTAATTGGCTAGTTAAGTAAATAAATTGACTATCAAAATGTGTATTATATTTTTTGTTTAGAGATGAATTTATCTAGATGAATGATTTTTTTATCTTAGATAATTATTTAGATAAAATTCAACTATTTATCTATATAAGATAAAAGATAACTAAATAATTATCTAGATAACTTATCTAGATAAGTCTCAACACTGGTTAGAAGCTTTTTATTTAATTTTCAAATTTTAGATTTAAAAATAAAAACTTTTATGAATTTCTATCTAAGATAATTTGAACATTGTCGTAATTTTTATGTATTTAGTCAAAATTTGAACTTTA